CTCCTGCCTAGCTATTGGCTGTTTAGCTCTTTATTAAACCAATCACAGTGACACATCTTCACACGGTGTAAAAGAATATCCCACAACACTTCTGCATCTGTTTGGGGGTAAAGAATCTGGAAAAAATTCCCCTTCACAGACTCATTGTGGTTGGGAAGGGGGTTGGCGGCCTTTTCAGATAGGTGATCATGGGTATTCCTCTTGGATGCTTCACTAACAACAAGTGGGTTTTCAAAAAAGGTTTATCTTGTTTTATGTATGGTACATATGCTTGTATGTGTGTGTGGTACAGGAGGCCAGAAGGAGGTGTCAGATCCCTCAAGATGGAGTCACAGGCAACATTCGTGAGCCATCGGATGCGGATGCTGGGGTCTGAGTTCCGGTCCTCTGCAGAGCAGCAAGTGCTCACAAACACCGAGCCATCCCTCCAGCCCCAGTGGTAGATTTTGTTTTGTTTTTAAGATTTATTTATTTATGTATTTATGTTGGAGAGAGGCCACTAGTTTATTCCTGGCTGCTAAACCTCAAAATAATCACATAGAAACCGTATTAATTAAATCACTGCTTGGCCCATTAGCTCTAGCTCCTTATTGGCTAACTCTTACATCTGAATATAACCCATCTCCGTTAATCTGTGTATCACCACGTGGCAGTGGCTTACCCGGCAGAGTTCTCGTGTCTGTCACCAGCAGAGCTACACGGCTTCTCTCTGACTCTGCCTCCTTTCTCCCAGCATTCCATTTAGTCTCCACCCACCCTCGCTTACCTAAGTTCTGCCCTATCAACAGGCCAAGGCAGTTTCTTAATTCGTTAATGGTAATCACAGCACACAGAGGGAAACCCCACATCATATGTATATGTGTGTGTATACATACAGGTGTGCAGCCGCCTATGGAGAAGAGGGTGTCATGTCCCCTGGAGCTGTAGTTACAGACAGTTGTGAACCTACAGGCGTGGGTGCTGGGAAACCAACAAGAGCAGCTAAAGCTCATTATAATAGGGAATCATGAATGATTTCAGTGAGCCTTTTTTTCCTTTTCTTCTCAGGGGTGTGGGTGGACTGCGTGGCCTCACACCGGTGAGGCAAGTAATCTACTATTGAGTCACATTCCCAGGCTTATCAAGTTTGTCACAGGTGGTTAATTAACCTGTTGATACCTCTTGCCCTTTGAATGGGTTCAAGGTTCACAAGGGTACATTAGCACCCAGAAGAGAATGAGGAGGGCGTGGGCCACTGCCATAGTGACAGCACTGTGGATATCAGACCTCGCCTCATGTCTTGGAAAGGCTTCGTTCTGGACTCTGTGGGGTCTTGAATTTCAGCCTCATGGCGGAGCCGACCAGGAGAGGCCTGTGCTACCTCTCTGGGAAGTGGGGTTTAGAATGACGTTGTCCTTTCCATGTCCCAAGATGCAGTGGCTCAGCTGCCACTGATCAGCCTCTCATCTGCTCCTGAGGCACATTCCCTCTGGAGGCACAGTTCAGAGGAAGGGCCGCCAGGCCCTGAGCTGCTCTCTCCTTTTCTGAGCCTCAGCATCCCCAACCCTTTTCCATTTCTCCTCAGGACCTGACTTCTGCCTGGAGTTCCCCAGTGCTCCTCTCCTCCCCAGTGCCCCTCTCCTGTGAGGAGACCCTAACTTCCAGAGCAGAGCAGGCCAAGGGCTGGTGCTGTGGAGTCGGAGGGCGGGGACTTGATGACTCATCTCAAGCGCTGGTGTATTTATGGCTATACTGAAACCTGTATATCAGTTCCAGGGAAACACTCTCCCTGCAATGGCTTGGATTAGTCACCTTCGATGACCCATGTATTAAAGGCATGTCTCCCAACCCACACGTAGGTAGTAGAACCCTTAAGGGGTGGAGCCTGGTCGGAAGTCTTTCAGTTATAGGGAGGTGTGTCTTGAAGAGGGTTACTGGGACCCTGGTCACCTTCTCTTCTTTCTTATTTCCCACTATCTTGAGGAGAGTTGCTTCCTCCACCATGATGCCACAGACCCAGAGACAACCGTCTTCCATCCATCCTCATGGATGGAAGCCTCCAAAACTATGAGACAAAATTCACCATCTTCTTTTCCAAGTTCTCCTCCCGGGTTGCTAGAGTGATGAAAATCTGAGTAGTAAAATTCTGACGTTCTAGAATCATTCCCAGAAACACAATATGCATGGAGTCTTGCTCTTTAAGGCTAGAATGAATTAACGTGACCTTCAAGGGCACATTTTAGACCTTAGCCCAAAGAGTGTGCCCAACAGTAACACTCCTTCCCCCTCTCAGAATCGCACGACAGCAGCGAGAACTTACCCCAAACAGACAAAATCAGCAAAATAGACTCCCAGAGAACAAAACCTGCAGGGCAGACTCTGCAGCAAATGATTCACATCTCCGCCGAATCTGATGACCGCTGAAGCCACCCACAGCGATGTCGGAGATCATCAACAGACTGAGAGAAACTTTAGATCAAATCATCACCAAATTATTTGGAGGGGAAATGAGCCCAAATGCCCAGCCAAACATAAAAAAAATATATATGGATGGAAAAGAAATGGCTGAATACACTGAGTTACGTAAGAGTTTCAGAAAGAATTCATGGGGTTTCTGGAAGCACAATTTCATCAAGAACTGAAGGAAAATGAAAAGGGAGACAGCAGGCGTAATTGCTATGAGCAACAGCTTCCCGCTGAGAGAGAAGGGCTTTACCATCAGCTCGCTGAGAATACATCCAGGCAAATACCGAAAACATGGAAATAAACACTTCTCATAAAATCAGAACGCGAGGACAAAGGGACACCCAGAGACATGCCACGTGTAGCAGAACAGAGAGCGAGCAAAGGCCAGGTGAGGTGGTAATAGAAAAAGAGAAGCGAGAAAATTACATCTCCGTGGGCATCATTAGAGTGAGGGGAAGCAGGCAAATGGAAGGCGCTTAAAACGTAAGGGAGCAAAACATCAGAAAATGCCGCGGGTCAAATCCTGGAAGAGCAAATGATGCCACAAAGAAAATTTCTTTATAACAACACCAACAAAAAAAGGAACAGGGTGGAAGGGCAAAAGGGAAAATGGCAGCTAGGACTCAGGGAAACTGGGTCATACCTGACTGTCTTATTTCTGGCTATGTCTCCTTGGGTACCCGTTCTGAGCTTCCGGGTCAGGCTCTATGGTCTATGGCATCAAAGACTTAACCCAAGACGTCCGCTGCGTTTTGATAGCCTGACCCCTTTGGGCCCCTGACAGACTTACAAATCCTCGTCCCAAAGAAGTTCACACGCGCTTTCGCTGGGTGGGTTTTGCTATTTCCAGAGTCATGCGTAGTTTGAAAGGAGACGATGTACTTTTAGGGCGGGAATTCGAGTTCTCCCAACGGGCAAAACCCATCGACGACTTCCCGTTGTCTAAGCGTTTCCATTCTCTAAGCCACGTTGAGTTGAATCAAGCTTCGCTTCAGTCTCGGGAGGTTCTATTGGAACTGTTCGAGACCTTGTGGAAGGGAGTCAGCTGGTTAGCAGCGGAAGAATGGGTGAGAGGAAGCAGGGGTTGCTAAACTGTTTAGCAAGCTTTTGCTTTTTTTCCCCCAGCACCACTGTCTTTTTCATTTATTCTGCATTTCAGAAGCAATTAACCTGTATACTATTGGGATTTAGCCATCTCGGCTGGTCGCTTTCTACCCTTTATCATCTCGGATTCTTGGTCTCGTCTTCTCATCTGCTTTGAAATGGAGTGATTGGGAATCGAGCCTTGGAAGTGGACACGTTTAGAAAGAACAGTCCACGCACCTTAGGCGGTGCCAGGATTAGATAGAATAAGAAATACGGGGTGCAGGCCTCGGAATACTTGGTGGAAAAGATGTGTCTTGGTGCTGGGCAGGGCCAGGCCAGGAAGGCTGTGCAGGTGAGGTGTGACTTCTGGCAACAGTTCCGTGGAGAACTTGGTAAGAGGACATTATGTAAAGATTTTACAAATACGTTTACTTATCCATCAGTTTGTGTGGGTGTGTGGTGGCATGTGTGTGGGTCCCCACATCTGCGTGGAGTCTGGAGGACAACCGCAGGAGTCAGACCTCTCTCTCCACCTTTGGAGCTGGGTCCTTTGCCAGGTTGGGGGACAGGCGTCCCTAATTGCCGAGCCATCCAGCTGGCTCAAGAGGGGGATATTGTCGTTAAAACTCTTCTTGCGTCTCCTCCCTTCTTTGCTGGGGCCCCTACTAGAAGTGCTGCCTGGAGATTTCACAGATTAGCATCATTTGAAAGATAGATCCATCTTTAGATTGTAGATGAACATCTGCCAAGAGCCAGGCATGCTGCCCCATGCCTTTAATCTCAGCAGTCAGGAGCCAGAGGCTGGCTGATGGCTTCAGAATTCAAGACCAGCCTCACCTACAGAGTGAGTTCCAGGCAGGACAGAGTTGTTACATAGTGAACACCCCCTCACCCCCAACAACCCATTTATCCACTCAGTAGGTATTTATTGAGTACCTACTATGTGTCAGCCATTGTGTTACATTGTGAAAATACAATACATTGTAAACAAGATCTAAGTGGCCGGTGGGTGCCAATGGGCGGCTATGTCTGAGAGACTCCATCCAGAGAGAAGGGTGGATAACAGCTCACTGACAAGTGGATTAGAGGTCTGTTCTCCATTTGCCCTGGTCTGATGGTTCCTGAAGGTTGGCTTGTGGGACCTACATGAAGCAGCCAGGAGCAGAATCTCCGATTCTAGAAGAGGATTAATGTGCTCTGAGGAGACTGAAGGCAACGCACTGAGCAGAGTTTCAGCATTCGGCTCCAGCCTAAGGAAGCTGGCAGGGTGGCAGGAAGGTAACGGAAATCTCCAAGGCTGAAGAGATGCACTGCAGACACCATGAGTTTTACCATGAATAAAAACAGTGATAGGAACAAGTAGAGCATTTGAAAAAAAAAATGCTCCAAAACTAGGCAGCACAAACAGAGATAAATAAAACACACAGTAAAGAGACAAAATAATAAAATACTATAATTTGGCCTCCCAGCATGAAGAAGAAAGCGGAGACCAGAAGAATGGATTAGAATTCATGAGCCATTTGTTCAGCTTTGAATTGATGGAGCCCCGGCTGACTGGAGAGGCCAGAGTGAAAACTAGCTGAGGCCCCTGCAGAAACGGACCGCTCGCTCTTTCTTCCTCTGACAAGGTTAGTGTTATTAGTATTTTTTAAAGCCACAACTTTGGGGCTGGCAGTGTGCCTTGTCTGTGTTATTTCATAAAGGCCTGTAGGAAACGCCGACAGGGGCTCAGAGCTGCCGAGCGGTTTCTGAGCTGGCCCACAGGCCTCTCACGCGCCCTTCATTCCCTCTGTGCTTCGCTGCACCTTCCCAGGTCTCCAGGGTTTTGGTCCCAGCTATTCCTGGGTTCTGTGGGAGCAGCCCCGTTTGTCTCCCCTAACCACTTCCTCTCTGCCTTTCTCCTGCCTGGTTACCAGGCTTCCATCAACTTCCGCTCTTCCTATGTCACATCGATGCTGCTCCGTTATTGCCTCTTCTCATCCTCCTGAATGTATTTCTCTTTGAAAGGAAATGCGACGCGTATGCTCACTCTGGAAACCTCGAAATGCCAGTCCTGAGACGGCCACTGGTTTCTCATCGCAGTTCTATGCGGTAAAAGAATTCAGGGAAAAGAAAAGAAGTCGCCTAAGGTCTCTCGCGTGTGAGAATGAGGACCCACAGGCAGGGTTTTCTGGCTTCAAAGTCTAGACTTTGCATTTTATGTTAAATCGCCTCTGTTACAATGGAGTTCAGTTGGCTTTCAGCTGAGCTTCAGATCTTACGTTATTACATAGAAAATAATATCTTGTTCTTCTCAGGCAGGAGTGGTCATGAGATTTTGTTCATCTCCGGGAGAAAAATACAGTCAACCCTGCAAAATTATACATGTAAAATTTTTATATTAATTTGCTCATTTGAACTGCGTTATTAACGTGTAAACTGTTGTGAAAATACATGTCATTAAGGGAATTTTCTGGGTACAGCTAACACAGCCTTTTCTCCAAGACAGCAGTCATTGCAGGCAGCTTTGTGCTCAGCCCGAGCAAACATCCATCTGTGTCGGTATGCTGCTTTGGCTTGTTCTGTGCGCACACCATGATGTTTAACACTAGGTTTTCTTTTTTTGTTGTTTTGAGACACAGGGTTTCTCTGTATAGCCCTGCCTGCCTGGAACTCATTCTGTAGACCAGGCTGGCCTCGAACTCAGAGACTGGCCTGCTGTGCCTCCCGAGTGCTAGGGTTAAAGGTGTGTGCCACCACCACTTGCTGAACCTTAGGTTTTCTAGATCAATCTTCGTTTCGCTTCTAAAAAGCCTTATGAAACTTATCACCCAGTGTTACAAGGAGTGGAGGGCCCTTTGTTTGTCGTGGCCGCCCAGCTAGCTTACACTCGAAATAACCACACAGAAACTGTATTCATTAAAACACTGCTTAGCCCATTAGCTCTAATTTCTTATTGGCTAATTTTTACATCTTAATTTAACCCATTTCTATTAATCTGTGTATTGCCACGTGACTGTGGCTTACTGGCAAGATTCTAACCAGTGTCCGTCTCAGGCAGAAGATCCGTGGCGTCTCTTACTCTGCCCTTCTTCCCAGCATTCTGTTCTGTCTTCTCCGCCTTACCTAAGTTCTGCCCTATCAGGCCCAAAGCAGTTTCTTTATTCATTAGCCAATGAAAGCAACACATGAACAGAAGAAGCTCTTACACCAGCCTAGACTTACACTTATAATTCTGTCATTATTTGATAAAGGGTCTTTGTGATGGCTCAGCAGGTGAAGGCGGCTGCTGCAAAGGCTGACGGTCTGATTTCGATCCCTGGAACCCACATTTAGGTAGAGGTTGTGAGTCAGCTCCATCAAGCTGCCCTCTGACCTCTATAAGCCCGCCCTAGCATGCCCAGCCCCCCCCCCACCTCACACATGCACCAATAATAAAACAAAACGTAAATATTAAAAATGTCTTGATATGGAAGTTTGTCTGAAATAAGTCATTGTTAACAAAGAAATGAGCAATTTCTTTCAGGTGTCCTTCACGCGATAGACTTTTTACCATGTGAAATTAAGTCGGTTTTCAGTGGCTGGTGTTGGTTAAGCAAAAGTCATTCTTCAGAAGTGCAGCGTGTTTTATATTTTACCCAATTTCATCCTTTTCTTTATTCCCGTTTCAGAGATCAGAATTCACAGCTTTAGCGTACAGTCATTCTCTGCAGAACGGCATCCTAGTCAGTAGCAGACTGCAAACATTACAGTGGACAAATCCTACTGCTGGTGGTGATACAGTATCTCTTACAGGGTCATAGTCAAACCCCTGTGGTAACCAAACCTTCTAAGGTGCCAGTCACAGGGGAGCAGCGCTCAGTAACTCTGCGTAGTCCACAGGACTGCACAGAACTAATAGCAATGCTACAAGTTTATGTGTTCACTACACTGTGGTTTTATCCTTATTGAAAGTGTGTGGCAAGTTGTAAAACAACAGTCTGTTGTAAAACCCATGCTTGGCTGGATGAACAACTCAGCAGGAGCGTGTTTGCCTAGCAGGCACAAGGCCCTGGGTTTCAGCACTACAAAACCCAAATCAGCAGCAACAACAGAAATCCCATGTGCTGTCTCACCCGGCAGTGGCCTTGCTGCAGCAAGGGTTTCAGGTCTCGAGATTAAATCCTTTTTGCTTGATCTGATATTTGCTCACCCTGTTTCCTCTGTTCTCAATCTGTAAATGGGTTTTATTAATTTATTTTTGACAGTTTCATACTTGTGCAAAATGTACTATGGTGATGCTCACCCCGTCACCCTCCTATTTCACATCTCCTCCCCCTGGTGACCCCCTTTTTCCCAACCAGTCTCCTCTCACTCTCGTGTCCTTCTTCATGGGTTACAGGTCTTGGGTCAGTGGTCCCAGCTGCTGTGTGTTCATGTTTGCGGCGGCCATGTCAGAGCCAGCAGACAGCATTTTACAACATTCCCCATCTACGACTCTTATGGTTTTCCCATTTTCTCTTTCATATGTCCCCTAGGTTTTGGAAGGGGTGATGTAGACATCCTGTTAGGACTGAGTGCTCAACTTGCTCTCAGCTGTGAGTCACTGTTTTAGCCGTCATTCACTGACATGAGAGGGTCTCAGACCAAGGCCAAGAACTATACTCGTCTAATGGATACAGACACAAATATTTAGGAGGAGGCTGGCTATATATCAGTGTAGCAAAACATCAGTAGTAGATTTCCTATAGTGGTTGTGACCTCCCTCAACATAGGCATTTTTTTTGTATTTGTTTTTCTGAGGCAGGGTTTCTCTATGTAGTTTTGGAGCCGGTCCTGAAAACTAGCTCTTGTAGACCAGTCTGGCCTCGAACTCACAGAGATCTGCCTGCCTCTGCCTCCTGAGTGCTGGGATTAAAGGTTTGTGCCACCACTGCCCAACTTCAACATAAGCTTTTGACCAGGTTTACGGTACCAGGCTAGGACTCTCTCTCACAGAGGACCAATCAGAAGGCAGTTGGTTTCTCCCAGAACAGTCATGCCACTATTGCACCATGCACGCCACCTTGTCTGGAAGGTTGGTAGGATAGCAGGTAAGACCGACAGCTGGTGAGATTGTTGATGCCTTTTCTCCCCCAGCAGTCAGCATAGTACCTTCTGGCACTGGTAAAGCTCACCATCTGGCAGGAAGTCTCCAGACAGTTCCAGCTTGGTTTCGTTGTGTGTAGTGTCTTTAGCAATTGGGTTTTACCATCTAGTTCTGGTGGACAACCAAGAGCTATAGCAATAGCCTGTGTTGTTTAGGGAACTCCCTAGCCAATAACCTACAGGGAGGCAGGCACCGCATATCAGGTACTGGACTTTTGGTTTTAAAAAAAACCTGTGACATCTGGGAGCAGCATTAGCAATACACACAAAGTTCAAGACCCATTTGATGTTTAAATTATATGTATATATATATATAATTATCTATGTTTATTATATACAAAACATATAAATATAAAATATAAATATATACTAGATAAGAAACATTACATTCATAAAAATGTAAATATATTAATAAAACAATATAATAAAATATAAAATAAATTTATGCATTTATTACATGAATAATATTATGCATAATAAAAATAGTTTATAAAGTAGTAGGCTTCTTCATGACTTCTTAAATACATTTTTAGTATTGGTCACACACACACACATACACACACACACACACACATGCACACACACACACACACTTTTCACAGCCTAGGTACATGGTAGGCTGGCACCCAAGATTACATAAACTCCTATGATGTTTACACAGCTAAGAAATTGCCTAATACGTCCCTTTGCTTAAGGGTCATATGACTTTAATTGCCATTCTTTGTACAACACAGTAAACATACAACAATAAAAAAAGAAACAAAAACGGGGCTGCAGCGCATGGTTTAATGAGTCTACAGAGTTTTCTGACTTGTTTTCTCCCTTGTCTGGCATCGTCCTTACCTGTTGGAAGCAGTCTTCTAGTGACAGGTACCTCACCTCAGCGGCGCATGGTTGAGAGTGTGAGCTATGGCTCCACACGGCAAGACCGCCAGTCCTCGGCCTTGCTGCTAAGTGTCCCCAGGAGGCCTCTCACTGCCATCACAGCAATCTTAAGCTGGTTTCCAAGTGCTCCCCAGGGGCAGTCTTCTCTCTTTCCTTCCTCCCACCTCCAGTTTCCCTGCTATATTCCTGCAGATTGGCAGATGGACCTGAACAAACTTGGGCACCGAATCGCTCCTGGTGAGGGGACTGAGAGTGTGGGCTGATTTAGGGCCTGCTCCCTGGATACTGACAGCAGAGTCAGTTGAAGAGAGTTCTAGATGTCCAAGGGAGTCAGGGTGGAGTGACTCACCCCCTGACGTACTATGTACTATTCTCAGCTTGCTCTCGCCTCATGGCTAGCTTTGCCAGGGCCAGCTCCTTCCCCTCATGGGCCTCCAGTTCCACCATCTTTGTTTCAAAGCAAGCCAGAGGCTCTTCCCTTTCCTTCTTCTCTCCCCCGGAGGAAACAAAAAGAGGAAGGAGACAAGCCTTTAGAGGCCCCTCTTCATGGACTGAAGGGTGATTAGCGGGGTCCCTAGATTTCATGTGGTCAACACTTTTGTCTGGTGAGCCTAGAGCCTTCTTTAGGTGGAGCGTC